TATGATCACTAGGACAGGGTCTTTTGTTTTTCTCCTTCAGAGTGGCTGCTGGTTTCGAACTGCCGACCTTGTGGCTCGCAGCCCAACAGGAAACCACTACAGCACCCAAACTCCTTAGTTTGATCCTAAGAATTCCTAAAGCTCTCATTGGAGGCTCCACGAACTAGAGAAGACGCAGAACTCTGGGCGATAATAAATAGTAGCTGACCTAATTTAGGGTGCCTTTAGGCAACAGACCCAAGTCAAATGGCATTCCTTGGGAACAAATCTTGAGGATACATCTGCCGGAACAAGGATGAAAAAAGTGGGCCTTTGGCAGGTGACTCTAAGAACCTGTCCAGGGGGCTATTATACCCAACACCTGGGAGTCTATGATGGCTAGTGGGGCCCTGACGGAAAGCGCTGGTCACCAATCCAGCACACTCACCAAGAGCAGGTCAGCTCAGACCAATCCCACTGCCCACTTCAGCTGGACTCACAGACCAGCCCTGAGCAGCCGGCCCTGGCTGTAGCCAGGAGGGGAGGGCCCCTTCAGAAGAGGTGCTCTTCAGACCACCAGCTGACTTGACCCGGGGATTTCACATTTAAGTACACCCGGGATAAAAATAAGATCGTGCACTCAATTTCAAACGTTCAATTGAGTAAATGAAAGATAGTCAAGGAGGGGGTGGTTCTGGCCTAGTAGCAACAAACGTAAAAATATCTTTGAGTAAACCGATAGCCAGCTCAACAATAGAGTACAGTGGGATGGGGCCGGCATAGCACAGCCACCTTGGCCCACTAATAGGATGTGTTACAAGAGCGGTGACAGCCCTGCCCCGTCTGGTTGGATTAGACTGCTAATGCACTAGGCTGACGTGGAGAAGGTCTGCTCATTATTTTCTACCTCCCCCCGGCCCTCTAGGATGCACCGTCTCCCTGTTCTCCATCCATGGCAGTTGGTCCCTACATGTGGCCTCACTCAGATTTGTGGGCCTTGGTGGCTTCCCACTGGGCTCGGCCAATGGGATGTACCAATGGGAGACTGGGGGGCAAAAGGCGAGGGACATGTAGTCTTTCTTCTAGCACTCTCTCCCTGCTCCATGGCTGATGGTGGTTGAGAGCCTCTGTAACTGCTGTCCCTCTTGGGCAGGCCTCTTCCATAGCAGGAGTGCTCAGCCCTCCCGGTTTGTTTTTTCCCCTCGTCCCTTCAGGGCGAGGGCTGGCAATCACTTGCCCCCTCTGCCTTCGGAAAGCTCTTTTTATGCCTTTTTTCTGCTTTTACAGGAAAAAAAAAAGCACACCTGGCATTCAGTTTTGCAGCGAGCACTGTGGAGCAGTGAGCGTGGCGTCCTCAAACTCTTCCCTGGGAACTTGACTGAGCATCTCAGAACCAAGCCACCAGAACTTTAACTGTCTATGAACTACATGCTAGTGTGATCCTGCGGTTTATGTATTATTTGGTAGGCTATTGGGAGGGGGGGGATTAGGGAGTACTAAAATAATTTAAATTAGTGGGGATTCCTTCTTTACTGAATGCCATTTTGACTTACAACAGGTGTCATGGGAAGGCTCTACTTTCAGAGAGTGGACAAAACCTTCGTAAGGTTACAGCCAGACCAACTTTTGGGTGAGTAAGAGGTACATTTTCCTAGAACCTTGACAAAGACGGCGTGAGCTTTCCTGGGAGGTCACGGTTTTCCAGCATCCTGAGTTCCCTAGTTTGGGGCTAAATGAGCTCATGTCCTAATGAGGTAGCAGAGTTATATGGGCTGTCCAGAAGGGACATTTCGAAGTCAGGATTTCATGATCGAGTATACACTATTGGACCAAATAACAACAAAACACCTCACTGCCATCCAGTCCGTTCTGACTTAGTGACCCCACAGGGCAGGGTAGAACTGCCCCTGTGAGGCTCCAAGACTGACTCTTTGCAGGAGTAGTAAGCCCCTTCTTTCTCCCCAGGAGCTGGCTCCTGGTTTTAAACTGCTGACCTTGTGGATCGCAGCCCAACTCCATGATGGCCATGCCACCAGGCCTCCTCATGACACTTCTAGTCAAAGGGGGGTAATGGTCTCCAGGAGACTGAGGGATACACTACTCAGGCCGTGTTTTACCAACATGGCCAAATCAGGGGGAAGCATGTGGGAGGATCTACCGGTATTTTGGTATTTCTTACTTCAATCTAGAGAGCAGAAATCTCGGTCTTTGGGTTAAACTGAACTTCTGTTTTACAACCCAAAACACATTTTACATCTCAGCACCACAGCTTTCAAATGGTTGGTCCATCCCAAACCGGATGCCCAAACCACTCAGCAGCGGATGCCCAAACCACTCAGCAGCGTTATCAGTACTTTTGTCAAAGCAACTTCCATCACTAGTTCTTGAGAATGGTCACCTCATTTTCCAAACAAAAACAAAAACAAGAAAACGTCTGCGCACAGTACTTTGCATGCAAACTGACCTGGGGGTGAAAATGGGGCCTCCATTCAACCAGGTTGGCAAAAAACCAAAAACCGGGTTTTTGCAATCGCCTTTTAACCCCTGAGCTCATGGAAGGGTCAGGAGCCAGGTTGCTAAAATCTGTTTGAATCAGGATCCCCACCCCTTCCTTGGGCATGAGTTTATTATTTATTACATCGAGGTCGGTTAGAGCAGCCAGCGATTCACTCACTCATTGATTCAGCAAGCATCTCTGTTACGTTTATGGGGGTACAACTGAGCCTTGCGGCGGGTGGGGGGCGTGCCCTATAAAATGGGCCCTGGCTGCTGTGGACTTAGGCCAGTTTAGGAATGACCAGATTCCAATGGCCAAGGACGAATGCGTGGGGGTGACGGCGCCCCCAAAGTTGCAGCAGAAACATCGGGCGCGGGGAGGGCGGTGACCAGAGGCCTACGGGAGGACGCGCCTTTGGGCAGGGGCTCCGCCCGGCTCGCCCC